ATTTTTATCCAAGAACTCTTAGCTTAGTTTTTAGTTCTGCATATCCAGATTTCACCCAGATTTTTTCTTGTTTTTAATTTTATAAGTGTAAAAAGTTTTTAACTTTTAACTTAGGATAGAGGGCTACTGGTTCGTCAGTTTTTAACTGTTATGTGTTACCCTCTGTAAATAAAGTTGTTACTTACTTACTTACGTACTTACTTACTAGATTACACAATTTTTTTGACTGGCTTTTCTATCTAAACACCCGTAGTTTTACCTGTACAACCTGGAAATATAGGCTAACACGACCCCGCCTTATTTTTAAAGGCACGAGCGCTACTGAGAAGAAAACAGAGGCTACTCTGAATTCAGCGTTCTGAAGAAGTTTGAAAAGTGATTTTTTATCCCTCTTTCGAAATGTCTTTAGGGACATCTTTAGTTATGTTGTTGGGGACACTGTACATGTCAGGTAAGGCTTAAGGGTAATGTGAATTACTTTCAGAGCAAAGTGAAGTATCTTGAATAATTTTTAGCGTGAAAGCAATTTAAGTTCATCTCGGCCCAAAAACAAATGAGTTTCCGGTTGAGAAGGATAGAAACGACATATATTTAAGCCGGAAAAAGCGAAAAAAGCGTTGAACAGGCTAGAGGAAGGCGAGAAAGTGCGTAATGATGAGACTAGAGAACCCACGATAACGTACACGTCTTTCTGTCTTTAACTTGTTGAAATATTACGTGTGGTTGAATTTTTTTTCACGTTATCGCCTTGTTCCGAGGACAATCATTGATTGATTTGGAGCGAGTTTTGAAACTTTTCTACAAAACTGCCTGAAGTGAGGGTCAGGTTCTTAAACTCGTCGAGGGAAACTTTTTACATCCCACTGGGGTGAATCCACATTTTTGGTAGCAGTTACATTTGCTAAAAAGTAGGCATTTTTACTTAATTTATTTTTCGATAGCTTTGTCTAGAATTCTTGGTACACCTTTGAAATAATTTTCGGTTAATGATCGGCCGACTGTAATGCTTTTTCTCGACCGTTTCTTCACGTTGATGCTTGCATTATTTGTTCTCAGTAAATTAAACGCTTTTACGCAACTTTGAGAGCGAAAAATTTATTTCCCTCTAAAAGCCGGTCGGCATTTTTAAAAAGAAATTCATTAGGCAGTACTGCTGTCGTCATCTTTGAGGGAGGTTTTTTAAAGCGCTAGTTTAAAGTTTAGAAATTAGTTTTACAAATCAGTTTACTCGTACCTTCTACAGCTATGTATAAAACAACGTTGACGATGAGAAATTATGATCGACTTGCTAAACGCTCAGGAGCGAGTAATCTTGCTGGCTGTCTTTATTTACCAAGAGTGCTCTCCTGAACAAAAAAAATCCGCTTAGTACATTAGCTAATCAACATTCAGTTATTTTGATGCGATGTTTGAGACGATCAACTTACTCGAAGGTGGAACACGTAAATGTTTTTGGAGAAGGAGGTATTATGTCGCACAGTTTTCATTATCAAGGCAAGAGGAAGAAAATTCTGGTGACAAATTGTGAGCTCACTGAATATTGACTTTTCATAATTGCCATTTTCCTTCTTGTCACTGAAGATCTTTTTCTATTTTTTTTCCTATCATTCTTTTTTAGGGAGGCTGCTTAACGTCGAAGGTAAGTAATACACTTGTAGAAAGGTCCCTAGATACCTCAATGATTAGTGGAACTATTTCAAATTGTTTATTTTTTTTCCTAAATCAATTCTGTGCGACATATGAAGGAAACGTGCAGCGGAAAATATTTAATTTCATGTTTGTTCAATGAATTCTTTAAAGAGACCCCTTATCGACCATTGTTTGTATTGTGCTCTCTTAACGATTGACGTTCCTGGATACGGAAGCGTTGCAGATGTCATCAATGACCTTTAACANCGGAGACCTGGAGGTTGAGATGGAGGTGGAAGTGGCGGAGGGTAACCAGGCGGTTGAGGTGGTGGATAGCGTCGGTACCGCCGTTAATCACTTATCTATATAATTTTGAATAGAAATTAATGTCTACTTTATGAAACTGAAGTCAAATCTTGTGTTTTGTAATGTTAGATAAAGGTTAATGTGCACTCTGAGCAAGACCATTAAAAATCACAATTCGTGTCCGTTATGATTGTTTGATCGCGGTAAGGAGAGCATTCTTTTTATTCAAGTCAGAGAAGAAGCTGATTTAGTTAAGGCTGCGGCTGATAGAAGGCGAGATCGACGAAATGCGAAGAGATGATCGATGAAATGAGATGATGATCTTACCTTTCCTGTCATTTACCGTGATTTTAGTGCTTTCTTATTTTGTTTATTTGGTTAAGGCGACGGCCACGCTACGTTCTACGTTGTCCTCATCTTTTTCTTTTACAGTCTGCTTCGAAATTACCAAGCGAGAAAGAGGTCATTCGTATTTCAACCTGTATCGTTCCATTCGAATGTCACTTTCTTGTCGTTGATGCTTAATGAGATACCCCACAAAACCTCACAAAAGCAAAGTCTCGATCCGTTCAAAGAGAAGAGGGTATAGCAAATGCTAGGATGGTGCAATTTGAAAAGCGCTCTTAGACGTGTTGGGAAACACGATTTGTCTTCAACATTGGGAGGGGCCGTCTTGTAACACATGCGAGAGGAATTGGTTTGGTCCTCGGTGTCAGGCGGGTAGCGTCCTATACGCATATGCGCACGTGCGTACTTCAAGTCACCAGAAAATTTTGAAACTTTTTGCGATTATTTGTATTTTTTCGCTCAGTTTACTTAGGTTTCCAGATTATATGTACTTGTGCGTACTTGAAAAAATGACCACCCTACGAGCCTGGCTGTTTTACATTCTGTGATCCTCAGGATAATGATGTACAAAGAAGACATTACAAGTAATGTCACTTTCGAAACACTTCAGACTCGAAAGTCTAAATGGACTCCTCTGTAGTGCCAGTTCGCATCATTAGTCTTTTTTATCAAAAAATGTTGCCACGATATCAACAAA